GGTCGCAGGATTGAGTGTCTACGCCGAAAACAAGTTTTTGCTCTTTGTGTTCGCCAGGGTGTTGCAGGGGATTGGACCATCGTTGTGCCTGCCGAACGGTCTGGCGCTGCTCGGAGCTACCTATCCGGCTGGTAAGAGGAAAGACTTCGTCTTCTCGTTCTTTGCGGCCGCCGCGCCATGTGGGAGCATCACTGGAGCCGCTTTTGGGAGTTTGTTCGCGCTTGCTTGGTGGCGTATGTATTTCTGTGTGGCTATTGATGAGCTACCGCTGACTATTGACAGCATGGGCTTTCTTCTCCTTCGCCATGGCTCTGGCTACCACAGCGATTGTAGGCATCCTCGTCATCCCTGACATACCTTCCGAGGCAAGGGAGAAGCGGCGGACAATGTCCTGGTACGAGACCGTCATTCAACTCGACTTGCTCGGTGGTGCTGTGGGTGTGCTGGCCCTTGTACTCTGCAATTTCAGTTGGAATCAAGCACCCATCGTCGGTTGGCAGCAGCCTTATGTCTTTTCGATCTTTCTTGTTGGCGTACTCACAATACCCGTTTTCTTCTACATCGAGTTGCGGGTTTCGCCGCTTCCATTACTGCCGCTCAAGGCCTTGAACGCTGATGTGGCATTCGTCCTGGCATGTCTTGCTTGTGGCTGGGCTTCCTTCGGTACGCTACCTTGATCGTGGCCGAGGCAGAGTACACACTGATTGTTACTGCAGGCATCTGGTTTTACTACACTTTTCAGACATTTCTCCTGCTGCGCAATAATAACGGTACTGGCTCCAGTCCTCTCCTTACGACTGCTATGATGGTCCCAGAAGGCATATCTGGCGCTATTGCCGCTGTGGTAACAGGCTTCCTACTTTCGCGCTTGCGACCAGCTTGGGTCATGACACTTGCTCTTCTTGCCTTCACACTGGGCACGGTGTTGATCTGTACGGCGCCCGTCGGGCAAATCTACTGGGGCCAGACATTCTTTGCAACTATCGTGATTGCATGGGGCATGGACATGTCTTTCCCGGCTGCTACGGTGATACTGAGCAATGCAGTGGATCGGGAGCATCAGGGGATTGGAGCGAGTCTCGTGAACACCATCGTCAATGTGAGCTGCACATCTGCGCTCTATCACTCCGAAGCGTTGCTAATACCACTCGCAGTACACTATCTCCATCGGCCTGGGCTTTGCAGGCGCGGTCGAAGTGCATGTTAACAACGGCGGACACACACGGCCAGATTTGCTGAAGGGCTTTCGAGGCGCGTATTACGTCGGCCTCGGTTTCGCAGGGATGGGTCTGGTCATCAGTGTGCTATTCCTGTTGAGAAGCTACCGTCGCGATGGGCCTATGGCGAGTTAACAGGCTCTTGCCCCTGGCGATATTCTCACAGTCCTGGCGTGGGTTTCGCTTTACCAAAATTCAAACCTTCTTGCAACAAGGTCCCACCGCTGTGAAACGAGCGCTCCAGTATCGCACGTCGTATTGGTAATGTACAATTTGAAGATTCAGCTATAAGATCTGCACTCCCAGCTTGAGGAGCGAGGCTTCTACTCATCCGCGTCAATCCGAGCGAGCCATCTATCATCCAAAAACATGGCACTCAACACAACGACGGATCTGGACCTGCCCTTCAGCGACCTCACGATAGCACCGACAGGCTTTCTCCATCTGCCTGGCGAGCTCAGGAACGTGTTGTACGCCACTCTCACCGCCGACGGCCCGATACATCTGGGATCAAGTGGGCAACACAAGTATTCCGCCATCTATCCCGACGAGCAATTCGCGAATGGCCGCATCCACAACGAAGATACAAAGCAGGCGCCATATCGTCTTCCGGCGTTGCTCCGATCATGCAAGCAGATCAGATACGAAGCGTTGCCATATTACGCAGGCAACACTTTCAGCTTCGGAGCCACGGACATCGATCTGCTGAAGACATGGGCACAATGCATAGGCACTCTAGCTCTCAAGCAAGTGCACAGCGTCAGAGTCGAGCACTACGTACTGGAGCGCCGTCAAAACCCACGGTTCGATTCACTAGGGACAATTTGCGGAGCGGACTGGCGCCCGTGCACGACTACCATAAGCTGGGACTCCCGCAACGATACCATCTCGATTCGCGGCCACTATAAGCCTGACAACGGCGCCTGCCAGTGCAAGGCGGATATCACCAGGACACCTAAACGGTACAGAAGTCGCCAGCCACTTGCGCAGCCTTTGGTCAGAGAGGCAATCCAGTTGATGGAGTTCATGGAGAAGAACCGCAAGACGCTATCAACTAAGGCAGAGCTATGGGGTTCAAAACCTTGCCAACGTTGTAGCAACGGGGCAAGGACCTTCACCAGCATGCCTGCGCCTGATCAACTGCGTATGTGTCTCTCAGGGCCATGGGGCGACTCGATGTAGGGGTATGAAGGTGCGAGCACAGATCACGCTGTTTTCGCAGTAGGCGTATACGTTGCACTGGTAATATACGTAGCTGCTGCAAGAACAAGACTAGCAGCCTTGGTAGCAGCTACAAGTCACTCGAATCTACAGATCATTGCCCGTCCACTTGCTCGCCTCAAAGCACCATAATCGACACTCCTCATCTCTTCCACCATTCGCTCCATCTGCTTGTAGCAGTATTGCTTGTCCTGTCGGAACCGCCGGAGAGGCGCTTACTGTCATCGTCGCATACTTCGCTCGTACGGTCGGCCGAGTCAAGAGCCGCGATCGATGAAGATGGCGAGGACGGCGGTGACCGTGCCGGGCCTAACATTCTGGACGAGATGGACGAGGCCGGTGGAGCCTTGCGCGCAGCTGCTTCTGCCTTCTTCCACATCTGTAAGGTGAGTTCCCAGCGCTCGTCCGGGTCGATCTTCTTGAATGCCAGGAGCTCTTCCTTCGTAATTGCGGCTGGCTGATGTCTGCATTCGTATATCGTGCGTTTTGTAGCCATCTCTGGTGTGGCGTTGTACTGGGTGCTCTTGTTTTCAGTGGAGATGAGGTCTGGTGTGGCTGCGAGGTGGACGGTATTGCTCGAGGGGTCGGTCACAGGGATAAGAGAAGAGAAGAGTTACATGTACTTTCCTTGAATTTAACGTATCACAATATAGATGGACCAGAGGACGCGAAATCGATGTCGTGGTGTCCTCTGCATCCAAAGCTTGTTGCACAGCGAGTGTACGCAATAAGCTTTGTGTCTTCAAACATGTCGACCGGCTGTACTGGCGTCCACACAAATGTGCATCACGCTGGTGGGGTAGATGCCATCGACCTATACAGGGATAGCACAACCTCCCTGAGCGTACTGAGTCTCGCCAGCTCCTGGGTGGGCGCGAAAGTGATACGACGGGAGTTTGCTGTATTGTCCATCGCGTCTCGCTTCGGCACTTGATGCTGTATCTGGCGGTCTTTGACAGTTCAATCGCTGGTCGGCACGCAGTACCGTAGTCGTACTAGTAGCATCATGCTCGAACATTGTCGTGATCGTAGAGGATCAGGAGAAATCCAAAGGGTGACGTTGAAATGTGCGCGCACAGTCCACCACCAAGCGCGACGCCTCCAACTTTCGCGTACCTCACGTGTCACTACAACATCTACTTCATACTGTCGCTGCCAATGCTGTCCTAACCTCGCTGCCGTGCACTGCTTCGTCACAACAACCCTTGAAGCTGATCCAAACCCAGGTTCATCAACGGAACACTCACCACAGACATGCCACCCCGGAAGAGCAACGTCTCGACCACCTCGAATGGTGCGGAGGATGGCGCCGAGCCGACTACAGCGAAAGCGAGCAAGGAGGGTTTGAGCGTAGAGGTATCGCATTGTCTGGAAAGCATGGAGTGTCCTCTTGAACTAACACGACTTCTAGGATCTGAGCCTGCCGAAGTCGATGATTGCCCGCCTCGCGAAAGGGGTATTGCCAGCCAACACACAAATCCACAAGGACGCGCTACTGGCCCTACACAAGAGCGCAACGGTGTTTGTCAACTACATAGCCTCCACGTATGTTCATCTTGCTCAATATGGACTTGTTTCACGCAACCATTGGTCAAACACCATATATCCCACGAAATGCTGACCATTTGCAGATCATTCGAGAACGCTCAGCTGGCCAACAAGAAGACAATTATGCCTCCGGACGTTGTCGCTGCACTCAAAGACGCAGAGTTCGAGAGCTTCCTCCCTAGACTGGAGGCTGAGCTCAAAAGTGTGCACCGCCATCAAAGTGACCTTCAGCGAGCAGGAAGCTAACACGATCCGTAGAGTACAATGACATACAATGCGACAAACGTAACACATATCGCCGCAAGGTGAAGGAAGACAAAACTCCAGCCGAATCTGCCGGTGGCGAGGGTGAACAGGCAGCAGCAGATGCGGTTGCCTCCCCTGCCGTAGCCACTGGTGAAGACACTAACGGACACGTCTCACCCGAGGATGATGAGCGGCCGGCGAAGAAACAGAAGGGTGAGACCGGGGACGCCGTTTCACCTGATGCGGATGCAATGGACGAAGATGGGCCGGATGGCGAGCAGGACGACGGTCAAGATAATGCGGACCAAGATGAGGATGTTGAAGAGGCCAGCGATGAGGAGGTTGAGGATGACAGTGATGTCGAGGACGAAGCAACGATGGAAGAACTCCGAGCGGACGAAGATCACAACGTCAAGATGAAGGCGATCGGGCTGTCGCTGCCGGATCCAACCGATGAGGATCATCTGGAGTACAGCGACGATAGTGATTGAAGAGGTGGGCAGCATTTCCGGCGTTCTTTGATCAGCATAGCATGGCGTCTGGTGGCAAGCGAAAAACGCCTGCAGGGAGTAGCTAAGGCTTGCTATCTAACTTACACGACTGCTTCTGCGCGTTGTTGAGGTTTGAAGGGATGGAAGTGGGCGTAATAGCTCATGATTGCTGCCGCGAGAACATCGGCTGGGATGCCGGAGCTTCATATAGCTTTGACAAGCTTAAAACCGCAAAATCCGTGCTGGTTTGATTGTCGAAATTATTTCCCACAATTCAGCCCTGCTGGCGCAATGGTAGCGCGCCAGACTTCTATTACTTGAAATCTGGAGGTTGCGGTACGTGTGATTGAACAAACTCTACGCGAGTTGCAACTGATGATTCGAAGGGTTCGAGTCCCGCGTGTAAGTTAAATCTTTCTTCGCTCTTCTGAACTTTCACTGACAATTGCACAGGGGGTACCAACACAACTGGTAAATTCGGTGGTTAAATTCCACCATGCTCGCTTTTTTGGCTGATGTTACAATCCTCTCAGCATCATCGGTACATATGCACACTCGACGACTTGTTTGTCCGTGGTGCAGGCAGTGTGCGGTAGAAAGAATGTTGTAACTGAAGGTTTTGGCTATCTAGTGTTGTGAGATAGAGTATCGCTGCACTCGTAACAACATCTCAATCAACCCAATGTTGTCGCCTCAAGCTCCAGGGTCGTGGGGCCATATGGCCATCGAGTATGGCGCAGTCTTCAGAGATACAGCGTATGCAGGTAACCGGAAGCATGGCGTGCAGTATGCATGGTACAGCGCCACAAGGAAGCTGCAGGATAGACACTAGATCAGTCCGACAGAGAAACAAAGTGAGAAGGACAAAGCAGAGAGCTCGGAGATGCGCGTGGGAAGGGTTGAGTGTAGGGTCCAATTGTTCACTGATAGAATCGCCTAGATATTTCCCAGTGCAATTATTTTCTTTGACGCAGCGACGCTGGTGAGACACGGCACGTCGCATCCCGAATTGTATGTGCGCAACAGACGCCCATGAGCAGTCTCGGATGCCCGCATTCGGTCGCACAGACTGGAGACGCCACTGCGTTGCGCCCTGCTCGAGCCGAAATGATCGCCGTGAATGCACTGTCGATTTAGCAAGTCAGCACTGCTGCACAACTATCGTGGCAGACAGTCGAGCGAGTATTTTGTCAATCGAAGGCTTGCATCCAAGCAGCTCGAATTTGCTATTACAATATTCCAATCGATGCAAAATCGCAGATCGCGACAATACCGCAGAACTCGAGATTAGCAAAAAGTTGTAATTTGGATGCGACTGGACTCGAACCGGTATCACTGTGCGAAGCGATAGATGGATCACAAGCGAATGAATCCATCGCACAGTATCCTACCATTAGACTACGCTTCCATATAAAATAGCTTTGCTTATCAGCTATTATGTAGAGCGAGAAGTGCTGACCGCTGTTATGCCGACTTGATTGCTGGCTGGTCCTGGAGGGTAAGCACAAGTGGTGCAGTAGGGAGAGGTAAGCAAGTGGCGAATCCTCATCTCGGCGTCTATGGGGGCCTTGCGTACAACAGGTTCTCCTGCGTTGGTTGCGTCGCCTAAACATTGTGAACAACGAACCAGGGCCGGCAATCAATGGGTGGCCTCTAAGGCGTGCCACGGCTCCTAGCAAGCAAGCAAGCACCAACCCAGCAGCAAAGTCAGCGTTGTCGGTCTTGCGGCCTTTCATCCGCCTCCCTAGATGCAGCATTGCGGCGTGACGCTCCTGAGATGTTCAGACTGGCAACTCCGCCAGTGTCTGTCGTGTCGTTGCTGGCTTCAAAATGATCCTGTGGGCTGACAGAAGCCTCCATTGATATTGAATTCTGATGGCATCCTGATCTGGCTAGCTAGTTTGACGGAGTCATTCTCATTGTGCAGAAGAACCTGGATTTGCGAGCCGATCAGCGTAGCTACTCTGGGCAGTCTCGCTGGCGAAAGCAGTACCGTCCCTTGCATCTTTACTGCGCTCTGGAGCCAGGTGTAACTCCAGTCTACACCGACTCCCCGCAAGCTTCTGAGTGCATCGTCGTTCTAGACTCCACCAGGAAAGAAGGGGCAGCCAGGGCATAGATCGTCGAATACATATACGCAAAGTTGGCAGTGTTGATGACAGCAAGGCTCACAGGGCTGTATGTAAGAAACACATAGCGGGACTGGCCGTCCCTTCAAAAACCAGTGCGTCATCAACGCCTGTGCGCCACTCCTCGGCGCAATCAACCTTCACTCATGTTCACCTTGCGTAGACTTGCATCTCGCACCGCAGCATCCCAGGTGCAGCGACCCGACAGACAGGTTTCGCCGACTTCTTCACGACCCTAAATCGCTCTGCACGATCGAAAGATTCGACGACCGTCGCAAGTCAGGCTGCGCGCTTCGATCAGCGCCAGGCGTCACCACTGAGTCGCTCATGCTCGCAAGGGAACACGCGCGACCGAGCATCCCCTCCGGCTCACCGCCACAGGCACGCAGCTCAGGCTTGCAATACCGGATCTTGGGAGATTGTGCGACGCGGGCGACCTACAGTAGTGCGTGCGCACGCAGGGAGAGAGGGATGTGATGCTAGGCGTGTCGCATCGGAGCTTCACTGAGCTTCCCTCTTCGCTGTACGTTGAAATGGACGAGTCTGGTACAATCAATCCCGCTGCACTGAACGCGCCTCGTACGTACTCCGCTGCCACTGTTCTCGCCATGCGCCCGGTCTCTTGCGCAAATAAGTTGACGGGCGATGCTGATCGATGACTATCCCCAGACTCCAATACCATAGCACCCAACCTACTTTCACAACCTAGTCCTCGAGGTGTCAAGCGCGCTCGATCACCAGACATTGACGGAGGATTAGTACAAGGACTAGAAACAGGTACGTACCAGAGCCTGTACAAAGATTGGTTGGAAGAGGTTCTAACGACAATAGATGACGTGAAACCAATTAAGCGTAGCAAGCCCTCGGACGCAGAAGGATCGTCGTACGCCATGTCTCTAGCTATGCAGCAACAGCCGCTCCGCACACCCCAGATCGAGACCCAGTCTCTACCACAAATGTCACCGCAGCGGTCTACCCCAGGTTCTGCAACGAAGCCGCCAGTCGTCAAGGCGTTGCCCACTGTGCGTGATCATACTACGGATCAGCTTACACCCGAGGGCGATGAATATATCCCACGAGAGACGGATCCAGGCGGAGAGACCAAGGTGTCGAAAGACGGGTACCCCTTGGATGGACGCAAGTACAGGTGTCGAACGTTTCAGGTGCCCAATCGAGGAGAGAAGCTATTTATGCTTGCCACAGAATGTGCTCGTGTCTTGGGCTATCGAGATTCCTATCTGCTCTTCAACAAGAACCGCTCGTTGTTTAAGATCATTGCCAATCAACAGGAGAAAGACAACCTGATCCACCAGGAGATCCTACCGTACTCATATCGTTCTCGACAGATTGCTATCGTCACGGCTCGATCAATGTTTAGACAATTTGGCAGCCGTTTGATTGATGGTGGGAGACGCGTGCGAGACGACTATTGGGAGGCGAAGGCGAAGAAGCAAGGTTTCACCGAAGACGATCTTGCGGGCGAGAAGCGACCTGGTGCCGCCAAAGCCAGAGAGGCTGCAGCAGCCGAGGCTAGCCAACACGCCTTGATGCCTATGCCTCAAGGCGAGGTCATCTATAGCAATGGACCAGGCCTCGAAGGGCACCCGGGAATGCAGCCTGTCTCGTTGGCGCCTGCTGCACCACTTCCCATGATACATCTGGCTGGCGACGATATAAGACCTGGCAGTGGCTATGGGAACGTGATGCGACCTAGACAAGAGATGACTGGTCCTTCATATCATGACCGAACGCAATCGAGCAGTTCCAACGACATTCTGAGCCAAGCAGCCCAGGCGGCGGACTACAATAAGCAACTTGCTCAGGTACGCGCGCATCGATCAAAGTATCTCGATGATTACTGGGAGCGGCCACACGAGCAGCCCACGACACAGGCGGAACTTAGGGCGGGTGATCTCAACACTGGACATCCCCAACATCTGCAATCTCCACAAGCAGTCGCAGGCATGAACCAATCACGAGGCCAACACGACTCGCACGCGAGCTCTCAAATGATAGCTCAAGCATACGGAGGCTACAGCAATCAGCAGCACCCAATGGCCTCACCCGTGCAGCAGATGCACCGTCAAGTGCCACCTAGTCAGATGCACCAAGGCTCGCCGTCCATGTCGATAGGCGGTCAGCATCGTCAAACTCCGTCTTACGGCTATGGGACAGGACAAATCTGGCAGCCGCCGCAGTCACAGCCGTCTCCGGTACAAGGGCATCCAATGCAGTATGGTCAACAGCAACAGCCATCGCCAATGCCGCCGCCTCAAATGCCACAATCAAATATGGGCTACAATCAGCTCAGTCAGATGAGTGGCGCATACGCCGGCATGAACAGAAACATGTACCAGCCAAGTCCTAGCCCTCAGCAGTTCAACATGGGCCCGATGTCCAGCTCTGGCCCGCAGCCGGGTATGCCAGGCTGGTCGGCTCCGAGCACGATGCCCCAAGGAGATTGGCAGCGGTACCAATAAGCCCGACTCGGTTGTGACTCACATTCTAGCTTCTTGTTAATACGTTCAAGGGTCGGCCGCATCTTCGGACAGCACAGCAGAATCTCGGCGTTTGGTAACGCATTTCTTGAATATCCTCTGGCGTCCGCATCTGTCATGAGCTACAGCGATGGATTCAACAGCTTGGTTACGCATAACGATCATTTGGCATCTCTTATTCGCACACACCCTGGGCGCATCGGTCGACTCGATTGGCGGCTTGCCATAATAGCATAGCGAGGGAACGGTGGTTGATGGTTGATTCATTATACCCCAAGATTGCTGCGTTTGTTGATCTGCATACTCTGCTCTTCGATAGCAAATGGATATTTTTCTGCGCGAACCAGCTTCTCTCATGCTCACTTGTGCATGAAGCTTGCCAGATCCACTGACTCTCACGCACCCCGCATGCCAAAGTCCAGCAGCTAGAAGTGCGATAAGCCTCTTTGCTCGTCGTGTTTCGTTCAATGCTGATCCTGAAGCAACATCACAGTCATGCCGCTGCCCTCGATCGAACCACCACTCATCAATTCTTCGAATCCATGGGCAACCACTCTTGAAGACCTAGAGCAACTTTTCGATTGTCCACACACTGGAGCGGTCACAACGCGGACCAGTCTATTGCACGGCTTCGAGCATGACTCCAAGATCCACCAGCATACTTTCTTCAGTCCTCATGATCATTCCCTCAAGCCGACAGATGCCAATGATGGATGTGTACCAGCTGTTCACAGTGCAAGTCTC